CGCCCAAACCGACATCAGAACCCGAGAAACCGAACAGACCAGAAACCGATCCTATTGGGTTCTAAAAAGCAGAAACCGACTATTTATGGGTTGGGTTGGGTCCAAAACCGACCCATACACACCCCTAATTTTTCCTATTCCTTCTCGGATTGATTTCCACTTACTTCTTTGGGTTTAGTTGTACCGAACATATATCCGATCCCCGCAAAGCGGGGATCCTTCACTAGTTATTTTTAAAATATAAACTTTTAAACGAGAATAAAATATGCAACTAAATTAACAAAGAAATGTTACCATGGTTTTGTTGTGTTTCATACAAACAAATGCATATTTTTGTATATAAAATGTTCACATGAAAAAACAAAAACAAAAAAAAAAAAAAAAAAAAAAAAAAAACAGATTTTGTATTTTCAGATCACAACTTCTAAACAAAATTTAACAAAATTAGAATTTACATACAATGAATCAAAGTAGCAATCAACAACATCATCTTAAAAATCCGAATCATAAAAACCAAAGTTTTAGAACCAATATAATCATCAATTCTGCCGTACGTTACATTACCTAATCACATAAAATCCTTCCCAATAATCCAAAAATACACCCAATGTAACATTCTATTCAACAGTCGTCACCTGTTGCCACTCTCCATCAACAGCTTCTTTCCACAAAGTGACATTATTATCACCAGCAGCAACAGCCAACAGGTTTCCAGTAAGAGACCATGACACCCTCCACACAGGGGCCTTAAAGTCATTTAACACAATACCCTTCCACTGCTCACCTTCTTTCCCCACAGTCCACACCACAACAGTCCCATCCTGTGAACAACTTGCAATCGTTGACTTTGGAAGACCCAAATTAGGTGCCCAAGCAACATCCCTCACCAAATCACTATGCATCTGAAGGGCAGGAAAACAATCCATTTTCCATGACCCATCAGTCAACTTCCACACTTTGACCAAATTATCATACCCACCGGAAGCCAGCTTCTGAACCGGGTCAAATACACCTGACCCGATTAACGCCCCGGGCGCCATTGATGGCGCCCAGGTGACCGAGGTCACCCCTGTTGGGTGAGCTTGGTCAATCCGTGACGTGTCCCAACCGCCATCTGACCTGACGGTTTGGACCGTGATGGACCCGTCAGATGACCCGCATGCTAAACAAAGACCCAGCTCGTGTGGGGCCCACGCGATTGAGTTTACGGATGATTTGTGGTCAGTGAAAGTGTGGGCTTGTGTCCATTCGTTTAAGTTACCTTCTCTCCAAACGATTACGGATCCGTCATATGAACATGATGCGAGAATTGACCCGAATTTGGGGTGGGCCCATGCCACCTGCCAGACTGGACCGTTGTGACCGGTTAGAATGGCGAGAGGGTGCGAGTTTGAACCGGTGGTTACACCGGCTATTCTGATTGTTGCATCTGATGAAGCGGATGCGATCCGTTTTCCGTAATAATCCATGGATACATCGTGGATTGTGTCTGTGTGACCTGTTTCGATCTTTTGTCCAGGCATGATTTGTTCGAATGACCTGTTTCGATTCAATGATATATGAAGATATGTTGGTGAAATATTGGAAGCCTAAATGTTGAATTTAGGGTTTTGAAGATTTGTACTAAATTTGCATACCCAACGACTCATACATTCATAACAATGTCATAGATGATGGTTCAAATGAATCTATACATATCTATATCTTCGTAATTTTCGATTGCAAACGGATCGGGGATCCTTCAGATCACATACACAGATCTGACGTAAAATTTACAGATAGATATACAGAGATTTCAACATATGCATATACATACATCGAGTTGTACAGATCTAAATTAAAATCAAGATCAACAACATACAGAGCTAGACTGTGAGAGAGGGAAAAAGGGAGGGTACCTTTGAAGAACACGACGAACTGGTTCGGTCGAGCCAAATAATTTCTTCGCAACTCTCTTTGTATGAGCCGGGTGAGGGCATATATGTCCAAAAGTATTATGATCCGGTTCGAGTCAAAATATGGATAAACTCCGAATTTGGGTGCCCGCTTTTAAAAATATGGTAAAATATTTAATACTTCCTTATGTTTTTTAAAAGAAAGCCAATAGAATAAATCTATGAAAATTTTATAAAAATTATTACAACTATTTTAATTTATTTAGAAGTAAGTTATATTTTATCTTAAGGGATAATGATTTGAAAGGGTAACTAACTATATCATTTGTATATATTTTGGTCACTTAATTTTTTTTGATGCACTGTTAACCTTTAAACTTGTTGTTTTGTTTAAAACACACCATTATTACCTGCAATAGAAGGTAAAACCTATATTGGGGGTTTGAGTTTCACCTCCGACGACATTTTCGACGGAAGCAAGCTCCGACGACATCTCTGATTGTCTTCTCCGGCCACATCAGATCTGGAACACACTTGCAAGGGATCTGAAACACATCAATAACAAATGTCTGGGTAAAAATTGCAGATTGTTTGACTTCATGTTCATCATCTTGGTGCCCTCAACTTTTCATCCAACCAGTTTTCAGGCCTATTATCTTCAGGTATCTGGTCCTTGCATGGACTTTAGATCACTTGATCTTTCTGATAATCTTTTGGAGGGTGAGATTCCGATGGAGATTGTAGGTTTGTATAACCTAAGTGAAATTAAGTTGAGAAAGAGCGAGTTTACTGGTCAAGTTCTAGATGAAATCTGACCTCTTGCGCTGTTGAGATCTGTAGATTTGAGTGAAAACTCCTTTTCCAGGGCTCTTCCAAGCACATTACCGCAACTTTCTTTGTGTAATAATCTAAATTTTCACAGCAATTTGTTTACTGGCATGGTCACTAAATGGATCGGGGAACTCGAGAGTCTTCAGACTGTTGATCTTTCCAACAATATGTTTTCTGGCACTATACCAAATGTCATTGGTAATATTCTTTCATTAAAATTTGTAACACCCGTGGCTTGAGGTAATGCTAATTATTTAATCTTTGTAATTAATTGTTGAACTATGAGATTAATGTTGAATTATTGAGTTGGGCCTTTATTGAGTGGGCCATTGTATCTTTGGGCTGACTGAAGATGTACGTTGGGCGTAAGCTTGGCGTACGCGGGGCGTAGTGGCAGCATTGGATGCGGGGGGTTGAAGCACGTACGTGCAACGTACCAAGAGGTACGCGCAGCGTACGTGAGCTGACTCAAAACCCTAATTTTTTAGGGTTTAGGCCATATAAATACATCATTATGTCCCAAACCCCAGCCTCCTTGACTCAGAAACCCTAGAAACCTAACCTTCTTCATTTTTGTGTGATCTTGATCTTGTGAAGTCCGTTTTAGTGGCTTGGAGCTTGGAAGGAGAAAGAAGAAGTTGGTGAAGAAGAACTTGTGTAGCTTGAGCTTAAAGATCTGAGACATCATCATCATTTAGCACTCATTTGAGGTAAAAAGCTCAAAACTTGCCTCATGAATGCTTAGATCTCTTGTAATGGGGTTTTGGACCTTTTTGGTCCCAAAAATGGAACTTTATGATTCCAAATCCGTTTTTAGGCTGAGGGTTGTCACCCTTAGTGCTATTTGAGTCCCAAAGACAGAAAAGTTATCATCTTGAAGGTCTTGAAGTGGTCATGCATGAGTATTAGTCATTTCTATGGAAGTAGATTTTCATATTTCAAGTTTGGGTCAATTTGGGGGTTTTCAAGCCACCAAGTAATCGACTTTATGGGTTACGACACCTTATTGGACTCAGATCTGTGTTTAGAGCTTTAGGTCTTAAGAGGTAAGCTCTTTTGAGATTATGGCTTAATAGGGGAGTACGTTGAGCGTACAAGCCAATACGCACAATGTACAAGCTAGTACACACAGCGTACAAGCCATGCAACCTGTACGCTTAGCGTACAAGCCATGCAGCCTGTACGCTTAGCGTATAGACGAGTACGCCCCATGTACTCACTGGATTTGGGCTTTGCGTCATTTGGGCCTCGGTTTGGGCCATTCCATGGACTTTGCTATTTTGGGCCATAATGGGCCATCAGAAATCAGTTAGTTTGGGCTAAGAATATGTTGGGCTTAAGAAAAGGCCCATTTGAGGAGTTAGGCCCAATTTAGAAAATTAGGCCATTGGTGGGCCACTAGTGGGCTTGGGAAGGCTATCTAGATTTGGGCCTTTTATGTTATGGTTTTGGGCCTTAGGCATGGGCCAAATCAGATCAGGGGTAAAATGGTCATTTTACCCTAAGGATGGATTATTAGTTTTTGACTAAGTGTTATTGTGGTAATGATAGCCCAGGGAGTCGCCGGAGCAGCCGTTAGAGATTCCTTACCATGAGATTTTGCACTCGGCTATGCGAGGTGAGTTTCCTCCTATAGGAACAGGTCGAAGGCACCAATGTCGGCCCGTATGTATGATTATATGTTTCCAGATTTCAATCCGATGTCGGGCGGTGCCCGATGAATGTTTATATGCTTTCTAGACTACGGTCCGATGTCGGGCGATTCCCGAGGAATGTTTGTATGCTTGATGTCTTCGTGATTCTTGCATGTGTATGTATTTGTATGTTTCCGGATTACGGTCCGATGTCGGGCAATGCCCGAGGAATGTTAGTATGCTTCCGGATTTCGGTCCGATGTCGGGCGAGGCCCGAGGAATGTTTATATGTTTATGTTACGTGAATATTGTATGTGTATTTGTTGATATGTTATTATGTATAATGGGCTTTGCTCGATGCCGGGCGGGGCCCGATGCCGGACATTGTCCGATGTCGGGCGGGGCCCACGATATGTTTATATGTGATTATGTGCTTATGTGTATGGTATGTGGTAGTTTGGGGAGACTCACTAAGCTTCGTGCTTACAGTTTTCAGTTTTGGTTTCAGGTACTTCCGGTAGCAAAGAGAAGGACTCGGGATGACTGCATTGCACACACCATGATGTTTTAGCCTGGGATGTTCACTCTGATATGTTGACATATGTTTTGATATGGATACTCTGATCATGATATTTTGAGATACTATGACTTATATTTGACGAATGTTTTGATAACTATGGTTTTATTTAATGATTTAAAACGAATTTTTTGGTCATGATTTTTGGGATGTTTCCAAATCGCTGAATATTTCCAACAATGGCTTCTCCGGGAGCTTACCAGCGTCAGTGGTCAATTGCCAAAATATTCAGAGCCCTTGCAAGTGTGTTCCATATTTGTTGTGGCCGGAGAAGACGACCGAAGATCTCGTCGGAGCTTGCTTCCGCCGGAAATGTCGTCGGAGGTGAAACTCAAACCCCTCCAAAATAGGTTTTACCTGCTATTGCAGGTAATAATGGTGTGTTTTAAACAAAACAATAAGTTTAAGGTTTAACAGTGCACAAAAAAAAATAAGTGACCAAATATATACAAATGATATAGTTAGTTACCTTTCAAGTCATTATCCTTATCTTAGGGGGTGTTTGGGTAGGGAAAAAAAGATGGTGCTTATTGCTTATTGCTTATTCCCACCACAATAAGCTAAGTTTGAGTGTTTGGATAGGAATCCTTAAAAATCACTTTATTGTGGTAGGAATAAGCTGATTTTAATAAGTATCTCCCAACTTGCGTATTGCTTATTGTTTATTCCCACCACAAACACTTTTGCAAAAACTGTTTATTCACACCGCAATAAGCTAATAAACTAAAAACTAATTTATCGAAACACCCCTTAAATGGGTCCATGAGTATAGACACCTCCAAGCTTATTTTTCATAAAAGCAATGCCTTATATATATATATATATATATATATA